TTGGATTGTCTCGGTCTGACTTTTTGGGAGCAATGAACGTGCTGCCTGTTGAATGGAAAGCCTGTATGAACATTAAGCTATCTCACAACAGTATTCAACTTGATTTGGTTTTCTGTATTATTTGGGACAAGTTTGGCATTTTGCATGCCTCCATAAATGTTGGCGATCTTAAACATGCTTGTAACTTGAGTGCACTGTAGTTCAAAGCTGTGCTGTATATTATGTTTATATTATATCCAGTATAATGCGGTTAAAAGTGCCATATTGATATGCACAACTAAGCAGGATAAAAGGCTAAATGTTCCCTGGATTCCAACTATCAAATGTTTTGCTAACTGTGAGTGAAAAGTGAAATACCTTGGTCATTTAAATGATCGGTTGACTGATGATGGTGACTTAAAAAGACAACGTTGTAAGCTCTATGCACAGGCAAATACCTTTGCACGTAAGTTTGGCTTCTGCTCCTCTCCTGTAAAAGTGGCTCTGTTTAAGGTGTTTAGCACAGCGCTCTACACTGCCCAATTGTGGTCATCTTACAAACAATGCAGAAGCTGCAGTATTATTTCTGCAATCACTGATCCTAACGTGAGCTGTTGTTGCTACTCATCCAGGAAGCGCTGTTTTAAATGTTTGTGTGTTGAATCTTCTTAATTACATGGGTTTTATATATTATGATTTCATAATATAAACATATTTTCACTTTTTGAATGTTTTTAGATGATGTTTTTTGTAGATGTCTGTTAGTTTTATGTTCTTTTATCATTCTGTGTAGTTTACTTAGTATTTTTTATTATTTGAACATATTTTACAATATCTTATGCATTTTACCTCATTTTATGCTGAATCAGTGTGTCTGGTAAATAAAGTCTACTACTACTATGAAATCAAAAACAGAGAAGAAACGAAAACCGGAGGTAAGATGAACCTCGGTTTGATGTAGCATCTTTCTGCAGAACAAGACAAAACATCAACAAGTATAGATGATGAAACATGGATGGATAACACCGCGAGGTCAGAGGTGAGAGTTATTTGTGTAGGGCTTGCAGGGCGATGCGTGCAGCAGTGTGTTTAAAATGGTCTGTATTTACATAGCGCCTTATAGGGCTCTACAATCCCCCAAGGTGCTTCACAACACAATCAGTCATCCACCCACCAACTCACACATTCATAGCTGATGAGCTACAGTGTAGCCACAGCTGCCCTGGGGCGCACTGACAGGAGCGAGACAAATTCAGCACCTTCCTCTCTTAAGTGTGTCTTAAGAAAGATAAAGAAAATATGACTTATTTCTCAAATTATCTGGATTTTAGTGCAGCGGGGCATCAAAATATTCAGTATTTTGTTTATTTTTTGAAAAAAGATACCACTTACGTTTTTATTCTTTCTAAGCCATGTGACAAACATTTAGAACACTTGTTTATTGACCTGCCGACTAAATCTGTGAAACAAGATGTTCAGATGAATTCAGAAGATGAACTGAATTGTAATTTACATGATTAGGAGATTACGTCCACAGGTTGGTGTCTTTCCAGAGGTTTTTCATGATGCATCAAAGTTTATCGTTTCGTTTGGAGATTTAATCCCCAAAAGAATTTAAGTAAAATGCATGTTTTAAAGATGGATGCTAACACAGTAAAAGAGGGAATTAGAAACCAGAAGGGCTTACCTGGCACCTGGACACCAGATCATTCAAAAGAAAATTAATAGGTTTTTGCAAATGTTTATGATTGTGCTCTTTTCCCCTCCCTTACCTCCATCTCTGCCTCTCTGTCTTTCTCTCCTGCTCTCCCAGTTTTCCTCGACACCTGTGCAGGTCTAGTGTTTCAGCTGAGTCCCTGAAAAATAAATGCAGAGCTCCAATCTCTTAATCCACTCGGCTCCACGCAGCCACGTCACATGAAACCTCCGTGGTCCTCCTGATGGCCAGACGGCTCGAAAGGGAATTAATGTTTGTTGTGCGTTACTGATTGAGTCTTTCATGCACAAAAAGTATTATTAATTGATCGGACTGTATTTCCTACATGCACAGTTAATATTTGTTAGGTGTGCCTGTTTGGTTTGTTTGAGTTATATCATTCTGGTGTGCTCATACTCTAGAAAAACGACTATTGATGGCTATTTCTCATCTAAATCAAGGTTTTTTCGGTCAATAAAGTGTGTACATGTGTGCATGTGTGTGTGTGTGTGTTTTCATTTTGGGATGATACCCTATCCTCAGCAATCAGTCTGACCTCTACTCTGGAGTGAACCATTCTCAATGATTAATGGATCTGCCTCCATGCTCGGTCGCTAAGGCAACCCGAAACCCGATAGCCCTCAGGAATTTGCAAGCTCGCCCTGAAAGTTTGTGTGTGTGTTGTGTGTGTGTTATTGGAGTGTAGGTGGGAGACACTTTGGAAGGATGGAGTTGGCTGTGGCAAAGGCGACCAAAGGGGTCCAACTCTAATAAAGCAGCAGGATTTTTGTTCTGCACTTCTCATGCATTATTTTCTTAAATTCATGCCACTCCCGTTAATGCAGCGTTGAGTCCGTCGAACCGTTCGGGTCCAAAGTAAGTAATGTTTCAGGCCAATAAAAGCATGTAAAATCACACTGGCGTTACGGGTCATGTCTTCTGGTGTGAAATCATCGGCACCATTTTTCACTCCTTAGTGAAGTGTCCAGATTTGTATTTTTCGCTGAAAGTTTTTTTTTTCTGTCCGCAGATGCCTGGTTAAGTAAAATCTATGTTAACATGATGGGAGCTTTTCAGCTCAAGCGTCTGTGGCCTTTATGCCTGATAGGTTAAATTAACATTACTGGTTTGAACAAAGGCCATTTAATAATATTGACCTGGAGACCATTTGGGGCTTATTAGCCCAACACAGGAGGCTAGAAAAAAGTGTGTCAAAGTAGCAAAAATGAATTTGTTGCAGGAACAAAATACACTTGATCCTGTGGTTGAATCACCTGATCAGCAGCTTTTCAGGTTATGCAGAAGCCTGTTAATCACCTGCTGATGAAAATCAGGTGAGTTGAAGCAGGGAAACAACTAACACATGCTACTGGCCCACCATGGATTACACATCCCAGCTCTTAAAAACTACCTTTTTACATGTAATTTACAAAAATATCCTCATAAACACTAAACTGTATGTAGAAATGTCTTCATCCGCACAAAAAAAACAGAAAAAGGCCCAAACACTGAGGTAAGATGGTATTGAATTGTTGTGTTGTTTTTAATTTTTTTCATTTTTGTACACTTTTTGCTTGTGAGCACATGTGATGCTGCACCTGAGGAGCTGTCCAGAGCCCCATACCTGCAGACTGGCCTGTGCTCCAGACTGGCTCCACCCTGCACCAGTTGCAGCTGATTGCTTAAAGGACTTGCTGGAGCACATCACCAACAGAGCAATAGTTCAGAACGGCCTGTTGTCTCCCATTTAGATCACCAACAGAGCAATAGTTCAGAACGGCCTGTTGTCTCCCATTTAGATCACCAACAGAGCAATAGTTCAGAACGGCCCGTTGTCTCCCATTTAGAATGTGATTTGTACTTTGATGTTAAGAAGAGTAATTTGTGGTATTTTCTGTGCTTAAGAGTTCTTTTTTTTTAAATTTTGATGTGGGAAAAGACCCATTTGGAGTTCATTTAATCAATTTGACTTTTGGAGGAAAATAGAAAAAACAAAAAGAAAAAGAATTAACAGCCTTTGTTGACATTTATCTTTTGTGTCACTCGTCCTCCATGTTGCCCCAAGTCTCCTAGATGCCTGTTGTAACAGATGGTTTAGACTTAGAACCTGAAAAATGGCTGCACACTGGCTGCAAAGATGGGCAAAGAAAAGGGTCGAGGTGCGGCTGTGATGTGATTATAATTTCTTTAGCCAAGTACACTAAAGGAGTAGGTAGCTTTTAGGAATACTTTTCACTGAAACTTGTTTTCAATACTTAATTCTTCTGGGTTTTGGAAAAGTTGCATTTGATGTAAATGGCACATGAAACATTGTTCCCAGTACGTTTATTGTATTTATTCTGAGAGATAAAACACATTTTTTACAATCAATACCATGGTGTGTGTGTGTGTGTGTGTGTGTGTGTGTGTGTGTGTGTGTGTGTGTGTGTGTGTGTGTGTGTGTGTGTGTGTGTGTGTGTGTGTGTGTGGTGTTATCTATGACAGTGTGTTGAGCATGTAAACCCAGACTGAAATGATCTAAATGAACCCATATTATAATAAAGAAATGGAGAGTCTAAGTCTCCTCCCTTTCAGACAGCTCATGGGTCCTGGGAATAACGAAAAAATGAAACCAAGTCAACGGGGGCTAAAAGAGTTATTTTCTAATCTGCTTTGCCTTAGGCCATGGATCACATATATGTTGTAATTCTATTTAAAACAAAAGTAGTGATGTGTTTCGACCACACCAGTCACGTACTTTGAGATTTATCAGCTTGTAAAAGTTCATAGTTAGCACGAATACAATTCAGACGTGTATATATACGCACGTTGTATACAGGACGTCACCACAGAACCTCCTCTCCCCTAGCGTAGCTGCTACTTACCACATGGCCAGATTCATGGCTGTTCTTTCATCCTGAAGGAAGGATTTGAAGTTTGCTGAACTTACAACCATTTTTTGCTCTGTGTTTCTCATCACTTCACTTTGGTGAAGCAGATTTGAAGTTCTGGAAAACCTAAAAGAACTTTTGCCTCCGTTAGAAAATAAATGCTTTCTTGGCATCAGAATGTGTCTTTAAAATTCATAGACATCATATGTATAATCCATGGCACATAACGAACGGGATTAGAAAATAATGTTTTCAGCCGCATTGATTTGCCTTCATTTTTTCATTCTTCTGGGGATCGATGGTCCAGAAGTTGATGGGCCTGACTTAGGCTCCCTATAGTTTACTCCTATAGAAATGATGTCACTTTTTGAAATGCACAGAAATAATTAAATCTGCAAATGTTATCTCACAATCATTCACTCGTTTTTTTTCTCCTTTATTCTTTTCTTGTTCAGGATTGCAGAGCCTGGTCTCGCAGTGGTCAGTGGATGAGCGGCGGAGTTACGCCTGGACGGGTCACCAGTCCATCTTTACAGCTACATAAACAGCCAACCACACCCAGAGCTATGGAGTTGCCAGTTGACCTAACATGCATGTTTTTGGTCTGTAGGAGGAAACCGGAGAAAACCCGCACATGCACGGGCAAAAAAGCAAACTCAACACAGGAAGGCTACAGCCTGGAGTTTAATCCAAAATGTTTACGCTGTGCAAAAGCATTCAAATCAGGTTTTTCAAGATTAATACGAGGACCATAAGATGCAGCAGTTAGCAACATGCATCTTGATTGGAGCCCTCTCAAGGAATGAAAATGTTTTTTTGGCCATCTGGCTGGATGAAAACCTGGTCTTTCAGGACAATTTTGGACCCAGGAATTTTCATCAAACCAAATCAAGCGCACGTTCCACTTTTAGCAGATTTTCAATTGTTGCTCAGAGCAAATTTTTATATCTGAAACATCTAATGGAATTGGGGTTACCCCAACCTGGATTCTTCCATTTTTACATCATCATTTTACATGACATGACAGAGATAAAAATATAATTTTACAAACTTTGACATCCATTGGTTGCTGCTTACAATAAAGGTTGAAGAAAAACAAGAATTTACAATAAAATTCTCTGATTTAGCTAGGTTCAGATAGGGATGCACCGATCAGGTTTTTTGCTGCCGATCACCGATACCGATATCAAAGAATACTGATCACCGATACCGATCACCGATACCGATCACGTGGATTGGCCAGAAATTTTCTACAACATTATAATGAGTCCTACAAACTACATAATCTGGGAATAAAGGAAATGTAACCTAATCTAAAATGGTCTGTGTTAGGGTTGTCACGGTGTGAAAATTTAACCTCACGGTTATTGTGACCATAATTACCACGGTTTTCGGTATTATCGCGGTATTTTTTTTTAAACGTGCTACATTTTCACACAATTAAATAAACCCTGTATGTCAGGAAATATTGTCCTCAGTTTGTGTCTAAATTTTGCCTAAAATGTGTTATTTTGTAATTATGTTGTTTATTTGTTTACATTTTCCCCTTTAGTCTTTAAAATACCAATATTTGCCCATAACTTCTTATTTTATGTCTGTTTGATGTCATCATTTTAAAAATATTAGATCAGATGATACTCAGTACTCAAGTAGCCTTCTAATCAGATACTTTTTTTTTTACCCTTACTTGAGCAATCCGTCGTATATCAGGAGAATATTGTCCTTGGTTTGTGTCCTTCCAGTGAGCTTTGCAGATGTGGGAAAATGTCATCAGGCAGTAATCATTGTTAAATTCATAATTATTCTCGGGGAGAGACCAACTCCTATCTGCCCCTGGGAGCCCCGTAATGCATAGCGTCATTTCAACATGGGGGTGTCCGCGACACGGTTTATATGCAGGTAGCGGCGCTGCGGCTGCTTTATATAGCGACTCGTTGCATTCTCCCTCAACCCAAATCCTCGGATCACTCATTTTAGCTAAAACGCTAACGTTAGCTTGCCTTGCGTTGACTGTAGAGTTGTGGGTGATGGTCACGCAGATGTGTCATGAGATTTGAAACGTTGCTGCCTTTCACAGACACTTTTTCTGCTCGTGCTGCAAACAGGATAGCCGTCCGTCCGTCTTCTATAAACTCCCTCGGCATTCTTCAAATATCTAAAATATGCCCGTAATTCCGACTTTGTCTTCTTTGAGGGATAATAAATGTCCTCCTGAGCGCTGCCATCTCCTCCTTTGACCATTATTTCAGCTTTAGCTTCAAGAAAGTTTTGTTGTAAACAAAGCGTGCATGTGCCGCCGGCAACTTCAGCCGATGATACGGTGGCTGGTAAGGGTCACCGCGCCTACACCGCAGCCACGGTAAACCCACCAAGATAATATAGGTTTTTAAAAAACAAGACGGTTATTATTATTGTCAACTTTTTTTTTTTTACCGGGGTTTACCGCTACACTGGTTACCGTGACAACCCTACCTGATCGGTTTGCTTTGATCTATTTTGAAAATTCCAATCAAAACCGATAGGGGCGCTATCGGCCGATTACGATCAAATGCCAATCCATCGGTGCATCCCTAGGTTCAGATAACACTGCTGTCATTATTAGCTCAGTTGGTCAGCGGCCTTGTGTTATTCTCCAGAAAACTGTTCCTGATTTTCTCTTAAAAGTCTATTTAAATATAAAATAACATTAAAAAAACATTGAAATGGTTATGCATTCAAATATGAAGTTGGGAGTTTGCGACCAAGCCAAGGTTTGGATAGAGTATATGTTAAAATTAGGGGTGGGCCTAGATAAAAAAAAATCTAATTAGAGGCTTTTTAATTAATGATCTTGATTAATCACATTTTAATCATTCAAGGCAAGTTGTGCCCAAGCATTTTCTTTTCAAAAATAAAATGAGTGAGGCACAGATGACATAACCACACTTTAATGCGTATTTATCTGTAACCACAAGGTTTATTTGATTACTTTGGTCTCATTATAACCATTATAGGATTTGTTGGAATGTCTAAATATTAGTAGATGTGTTATTGATGAAGTGTAAATGGACTTGGAACATTGCAAATGATTTGAACTGAACACTAGGTGGCAGCAGATCACTGCTAATTTATATAGAGGTGTAGTGTAGAGTCCAGGGGAAGTTCTGCTGAGAGTTAAAATATAAATGTTGCGTGTACGCTTGTCCCTCCTGCTGTAACAAAGTTCACATGGATAAAGTTACCGCCTGCCTACTTTCCACCAACTAGAAAACATAACAGTTAAAAAGTTTACCCTTTCTTCCCTTCTTTTCTTTAAGAAGAGCGATTTACAATGATTTATTCAATTGTAGTTTTAGTTTAGTTTGGAGCACGTAAAAACGTTATTTGGTCTTGTAGCTCAGGATCTGCGATTTTGTTAAAATGTCATAAACTTTTCTGGCCCCCAATTGGGGGGCGCTCTGACTCAAAGGGGTAAAATTAGCAACTCGTTCTTTTTTTGTAATTAATAAATAAATAACATGTTAAATTCTTTTTAAAAACATAATTTGCATAATATATGGTGTAAAGTGTCTCAAGCACTCTCACTTTTCTCTTCTCGTTTATTAATCCTAAAGTTCTAAAAATGATTTCTGTTTCACCTTTTGAACACACATCAAACACTGCATCAAACAGGGGGAAGAATAGAGTTAACATTAATGCATCTAAAAGATTCTGCTCAGTAGTAAAACTCCATGAAAAATGTTTCACCCGTCTTTATAACTATAATTACGATACAGAATTTTATAAAACCCACAAATTTTAAATAAATTAATTCCTTAAATGATGAATGGTGGGCAAATAACTATTCCCAACCTCCTGAAACAACAGAAAGTAGACATGAAAAACAACAAAAATACAGTCTTTAAAAATTATAAACCATTTTCTTTCTGCCCCTCGAAATGCATAAAATGAATTCTTGGCCAAACTATTCTAAAATAAACGGAAAATATACATATTTTTAAATAGATGATGTAAGACATTTATGTCAAATACTCAGTCTTTCCCTTGAAGAGCAGAACTCAATTTTTATAATTTACTCTTTCAAAAAATGAAATAAAAAAAAATTCGAAAACAACTGAAAAGATTTACCAAAATATTCAGATTTCATCTTGAAATATTTCAATTCAAACATTCAATATGATCTATGCGCTACAACCCACAGTGAATATATATATATATATATATATATATATATATATATATATATATATATATATATATATATATATGTACATATATGTATATATATATATATATATATATATATATATATATATATATATATATATATATATATATATATATATATATATAATGCATAACATACATGAACACAGAAATCTTGGCTAGCATTGCAGCATAAGTGCACATGTATATTCTCACATGTATGCCTGACAAAATGAAAGGCGGTGAGCGGAGCAGAGTTCAGCACGGGCCAGACCTCGAGCCCTAATCATGTTACATGATTAATGAGGGGGGGAAATGGGCTCATGTTGTATTAAGAAAATGTGTGTTTGAACCCAAAGCGGCGAGTATCAGCAGCCTAATGCATCAGCCATCGACTGGACACCTGAGATCCCAGGTCTACTGTGCTATTAGTTTCGTCCCAGTGGAGAGGCGCTGCATCGATTCTCCTAAATCTCTCACTCGCTCACTCACATTCTTCCTGTTTCCCTTTTTCCAGCATCTTCCGTCCTTTGTGTCCTTCCTTGCATAAATTTCACACCTCCTTTGTGTCGCAACAACCTCTCGTCTGTTTTCCTCCTTTCTCCTAACCGTTTTCTTCCCCATGCTAGCTGCTCTTCTGTGTTTGCACTCGCTGCACAATAGCAACAGTGTTTTCTGTGTCTGTTTTTTGCTTCTGAGTGATTTAGATTCATTTCTGGCATCTCAGAAATGGCCAGCGCTCGGCCCTCTCAGCTAAAACTCTGAATAGTCATTTAATCCGTGTGGCTCGGCTGATTTATTAGCTTGCACTGCCTCATCCAATAAAGATTGTCCAGGGAGTAAATTTAGGAACCAGAAGATGCGTCACCAGGGTTCCATAGGTTCATTCATTATTCATGTATACATTTTTATTAGCTAAAAAAAAAGGTTGGAGGGTTTAAAGTCAGAACATCTCATAGCTCTGGAGCAAGGCAGAAGTTTTGCTTCAGCAAACATCAGTGACAGAGTTTGACGTAGCTGTGGTGGGTGATCGGACCGCCTCTCTGGATCTGTGAAGCAGGCTGCATCTCGACTCTCTCTGGGGAGGAGAGTTGTTATGTGCACAGTAGCTGACACACACACAGAGGAGCTGATGAGTGATTAGTCTGGATTCAAACACAAACACAGCTAAACCAGAGCCCCGCTCATGTTACCCTAATACAATATCCTCTTCTCCGTTTTTATCAACAGCAGCTATTGTGGTCCACTTAGATGCGGTGTTCCACTAATTATTGTTAATATGACTAAATATTGTTATTTAGGTTTAGAGGCCTGAGCTTTTTACATTTAGAAATTATTCCTGCAAAACGGGAAAAGACAAATGTTCAGTAAAAATACTTTTATTTGGCGTTTGGGTTAATTTTTTAAGAGTAAGTGTGTTTACTCATAAAAACTTTTTGTTGCCGTTTTTGGTGTAATTTGCTCCAGGTTGCATCAGGCATGTGAACGCTCCAGATTTATGAATAATCAGAGAGCAGCGGGCGTTTGCGCCGCTCAACTCAACCATCATTTTCCATGAGAAAGTTTACTCTGAAAAGTTTGGTTACGGATTCCAACGAGGGAGATGTGTAACACATTCATTAGAAGCAAATAACCCCAGGCTCAGAGAATCAAAGCAATAAAGCACATTGGCTAAACAAATAAATGAATGAAATGAAGATTATAGACTCAAATCAGAAAAATGTTGGGGAAACCACAAAAAAAAAAGAAAAAAGTCGCCTGAGATATGGAAACCAACCTGCTCTTTGTAAACAAACAATTAGCATACCGTTTCATCAATACAGATGATGCACTCTTGCAATATCCTTCACACACACACACACACACACACACACACACACACACACACACACACACACACACACACACACACACACACACACACACACACACACACACACACACACACACACTAGGGCACATAGAAGCATAATACATCTAAACCCACATATAAACACTCACACAGACTCTCACTGTGCATCTTTACTAGACACCAAGGAAAATATCGGTGTTATGAACATATTACCAATGATATTTTCATATTTCTTTCCCCCGATGTCAAACAAATCAAAACGCCAAGACCAAACGGAGGCTGAGACATCGGCTCAAGTTTTCCACTGTCAGGTTAACAAAAGCAGCGCTGTTACAAACCGGCTCTGTACAGGGAGACAGGGTGTGTGTGTGTGTGTGTGAGTGTGTGTTTTTGACCACTATGTTTGTGCAGATGGCCTCATGTCAGTGAAAACAGTACACCTCTCTGTTTTTAAAATGTTCCTTTTATATTAGAAAACAGAAATATAATTCATTTATTTATAGACTAAGATGTTCACTTCATTATGAGAAAGTATTAAGAAATGTGAGCTAATGTGGCCAACATGGCTCCCTTGGTTACATGTTTCCCCTCAGAGCGCCATCATTCATCGTCGGGTCAGAGGTCGGGAGATTCATCAAAACAGTTTGTGCAGCAGGATTTACACAAAGAAGCCTCTCAGGATCAGAGGCGTCTCGTTGTGTTTACGGCTGTCTACATTAAGGCCCGTCTTCTCGTCACCCAGGGCATGCTCGGCGCTCGCTGATGGGTCTCACTGCTCTTTATTTAAACTCATTTTTACTGAAGCTTCTTCTTCCTGCCTGATTTTCCAGTTTTTTTTAGCATTAATGCCTACGTAAGGAAAATGTGGCAGAGAGTGAAAGTGTGCTTAAAATGAGCTTTTTTCTAATTATCTGCAAACAAACTTTTATTTTTTATGAAGAAATAAAACTTTGTATATTCTCATGTTTCTATTTTTAAGTCCATGCATCTTTTGACTCCACCCTACGAAAGACTTTCAGACATTTTAACTTTTAGTCAAAAAGACAAAAGTTATTTGTAAAAACATGACTGCTGGAAATAAGGTCAATATTCTTAAGTATGAAGTTTTTCCCAAAAACTTTTTTAAGTAAAAGTTGCTTAGCTAGAATTTTCACATAAATCCTTTTTATTTTTTTTATTAAAACAAGGCTTTTTTTACTTTGAAAATACTTTTTGGGTGTGTCGGGGCAAAATACTCTGGAACCATTTGATGTTTGTTGCATTCGACATGTGCCGATAACCACTCTGTATTATTTTGGTTTTCAAATTTAATTAAATAGGGTTTCCTTCTGCATTTGGCCTAAAAACGAATGAACAAAAAGTAGAAAGTAGCAGCTTCAAAAACGAAGTTTGTGAAGAGTTAATCTCAGATTTGTTTATGTGTCGATCGGGAGTGACAAATATGAAACAGACAACAGAGAGCGATTGCACCGGATCCATTAGCTGGTGTTTGGACACCTGTGGGGTCTACAGCTCGATGAGAAAGGCTGAGAGCGAGAGGCTTTGGTTAATCGAGAGATTATCCAAACAGTGGGATGCCGGTTAATAAAAGCAAGCACCCCCATCCCTCTCTTAACTTCATAAGGTGCATTAGGGTTAGGGTCTGAGGGATCCTCTTGAAGGTGTTTTATGCAAATAATTAAGGATTTATTACAGGTGTAGGTTTTTCTCTAGAATAAAATTTCAAATGCATTTAGTAAAAGTACAGTTTGTGTCAAAATACTTAAAAAGCATTTTGTTTCTTAATCTGTGTTCAGTGAACACAGTAAATCCTCAACAATGGTAAATCTGCACACAAGTTATGTTATAACATGTTATTCATGCCTCCTAACACATTATATATTACATACTTTCTCAGTGGCTTAGTGGTAGAATGTCCGCCCTGGGACTGGGAGATCAGGGTTCAAATCCTGGTCGGGTCATACCAAAGACATTAAAATGGGACCCCGTGTCTTCCTGCTTGACGGGTTGAATTGGGGGTTAAAGCACCAAATAGTTCCCGAGCGCAGCCGAGGCTGCAGCTCACTGCTCCCAACAGGGATGTGTCAGATGTGGAGATGAATTTCACCAGACCTAATGGGACTATTACTCTGACTTTAAAATGTATATAATTATATTGCGGAGATAAAAATAAATAACGAAAGGGTCTCTTGCATTTTTGTAAAAACCTCAGTTGATAACATGGCTCGGTCTAAAAGCAACCACTGGACCGATCTCAGCAAACAACCACACTTCTGCATTTTTCTGGGTCCTCCGCTCATTACACGCTCCTTTTGCAACAGAACACCACTGGTGTGAGAGGTTCTCGGCTCAGAAACATCAGAGGAGGAGAAACACCTGGCTGCGACCACTTCAGTTTCAGGACAAAGTACCAGAGCCCCAAAAAGAAAAACACCATTTAAAGTCACGGACAACAAAAGATGTTTGGACCTAGAAAACGGTGGCTGGTGCATAGCGCCATCTCGTTTGCT